AATTTCACCAAACTCTTCAAAAACTGAAAAAAAAACCCAAAACACAGCAATTTAGTAGGTTATGCAATCAATTCACAAAATAAAAATTTCTGTACCTAAATTATGAGTCACTAAAAAATAAATTAAGAAAAGAGTATCATTTGCGGTAGCATCGAGAACATTTAGTAAGTAAGAATTAATCTAATAAATGTTGTAAAAGCTCTCCATGGAGAGGTCTATAGCACTCTGAACAGGAGATGAAGCTGACATTACCATCTCGTCCCAGAAGCGTGGCCATCACCAGGAAGTCAATCAATACAAAGTGTCAGAGGGGCTGTGGGGAAAAGGAACCCTTCTCTACTTTTGGTGGAAGTGTAGACTGGCACAACCATTATGGAAATCAGTGTGGAGATGCCTCAAAAACCTGAGATTGGAGGTGCCTTTTGAGGCAGCTATTCCCCTCCAGGGTATTTTTTCAGAAAAACTGAAAACATAATACAGTGCTATATGCGTTGTTTAAAGCAGCACATTTTTGCCATAGCTAAATCTTGAAAACAGCCCAAATGTCATTTCAACTATGTAATGGATAAAAAGATGTGATATTTTTTATCCAATTAAGTAAATTATTTTGTTTTTTTAAGAAAAGATAAACTTAAGGCTTTTATAGGTAAATTAATGCAACTAGAGACCACAATCATAAGTGAAATAAATCAGACCCACCCCTGTATTTTCTCACTAATATAAGAACCTGAAAGAGTAAATAAAAATCTGAAAGGTACAATAGATACTGTGAAACAGAAAGAATCTGTTCAGAGGAAGGGAACAATGGGGATGAGGAAAAGAAAGAAAAAAAAAAGAAAGAAAGAAAGAAAGAAAGAAAGAAAGAAAGAAAGAAAGAAAGAAAGAAAGAAAGAAAGAAGGAAAGATTTACGTATATATACAGAATAGTTTGGATAATTGTTCTGCTGTTCTATTGAAAGGAACAGTTAATGCTTAATTTTGTTTTCTTCTCTCTCCTTTTTAATTTTTGGTAACTCTTTTGACCGATTTTGTATACTTATTTGTGGTAATCTGAATAGTTAATTTGCAGACAACAAAACACAATATAACAACCTTGGTTGAATTCTTATTATCTTGTTCGGTGAAATGCTATATAATTTCTAATGTGTTTTTTCTATTTATATTCTCTTTAAAATGTGAGGAAATTTTTGAAAAAGAAATATAAACATATTCTCTATTTCCAAATAAACAGAAATAATATTGGAAAAATGATTATATTAACAAAACTCAGATTCAATGCAACCTAAACAAACATTTCTCACAGTAGTAGAAGAAATATTCCTGAATATATATATAAAACCCAAAGAGGCATAAAATAGTTGAATAATTCTAGGCACCAAGAGCAAAGAAGAAAAGCAACACAGTCCAGGAATTCAAGTTTTATTATAAACCATTACAAAGTAGCAGTGGCTAAAACAGCAAGGCTCTGGTACAAAAACAGAAATGCAGATCAATAGAACAAAGCAGAAGATGCAGAAAGAGCACCAGACACATTTCTCCATCTGATGTTTAACCACGTTTCCTATAAACACATACTGGGTGAAAGATGGTCATAAATGTGCTTGGAAAACTGCCGGTATACAAGCAGTAGATTGAAGCTAGGCTCGTATTCTTCACGATGTACTCAATTAAAATCAAGACTGATCAAAGATCTAAATATTAAAATAGAAGCACTTCATTTGCTGGAAATTGAAGTCTTTTTTTCCCATTTATGTATTTGGTACAGGGCCCCACTAAGCAGCTTGGTCTTGTTGTGATCCCCCTGTTTTCAGCCTCTCCAGTGCTGGGATTACAGGCATGCCCAGACGTGGTGGCCAGCTCAGCACACCTAGGGTGGGGATAGCACAGCATATAGGACCGCGGATCAAACCCTGGTCCTTGTGCTTGGCAAAGCAGGTGCTTGTCAGCTGAGCTATGATGCTGGCCCTGGAAATTAAAGTACTGAAGACATAGGCATAAAACGTGCTTTCTGCATAGAATCCCAGGTACAAAAGAAATAGCATAAAGAATCAAAATACTGTGCTCACTTTGGTAGCACATACACTAAAATTGGAATGAAACAGAGATTAGCATGGCCCCTGCAAAAGGATAACATGCAAATTCATGAAACATTCCAGATTTTTAAAATCTCAGAGTTATAATAGATATAGTAAAGTGGAAAGAGACTAAACATAAGGAATAAACAATGAAGATGAGGAAAAGGATAAAAGATAGTGAAAAAAAAAAAGGAATGGAGAATAATCATTGAAGTTTATGCACCGGATAGCTGAGAGGATTGTTCTACTAATTTCTATCAGTTTTTTGAATGTAGCAGTTAATTTTTAAATTTTCACTTTGAGTAACTACATGCTAATATGTGTAATCTGAGCAACTACATCAAAGATAGCAATGTGCAGTACAAAAATCACAGCTGAATACCTCTCATCTTGTTCTTCTAAATGTGTACCATTTCTAATGTCTTATCAATTATTATTATACTCTCTTTAAAATAAATTTTTAATTACAAAAAGTAAAAAGGACATGGAAAAAATTAAGGTTTGTTGAAAACAAGGGCTAATGTTCAATTATTTGACCAATCTAGCATACCCATTTCTATTCTTGTTTTGAAGTTCAGTATCATATGTATTGTATGTCACTGTGTCTGTATCTTTTTTTTTTTGCAGTTTGTTTTTGTTTATACTCTTTACAGTAAAATAAAGTATAAAAAAGAATCAAAACATCAGATCACACCAGATTTATAACTTCTACACATGTAATGAAGTAACAGCCGGGAAGAGATGGTCTATAGCATGGGAACAATTTTTGTCAACTACGAGTTGGTGAGAGGACAAAGATGAAAATTATGCAAAGATCTTTACAAATTTAGAAGCCACAAAAGACTCAATGAAGAAATGGGCACCTAAAAGGAAAACTTACATCTCTGAAGAAAATCATGAATAGTCTATAAATACACAAAAAAATGTTCAATATCTCTGGCCTATAGATGAATACATGCTGAAATAAAACTGAGTCTCCATTTTGCTCCTAAAGAGCTGGTATCATAAAAAAAAAAACAATTCTAATGCTAATTGGGCTGATTAGGAAAAAAAAATTATCTTTCTACACTGTTTTTCAGAATACAAACTAATATAATTTATATTGATAGTGCAATTAGGGGTTGAGGGACCACTATCTTCTATTTACCTGAACCTGGCAATGTTCCAGAGCCAATCCCAAAAGCTTTGTCCGAAAGCCCTTTATCAGAGGCAGAGGTAAGAACAGGAAAAAAAAAAAAACTCCTGAATTCCAAAATACATGCAGGACTCAGGTGAGTGGCATGATCCATAATAAGCTTCCTTCACTGAAGCTTATTAAAGATTGTATCTGATGCATTCAGTTACAATATAGTGCAATATAAGAAATGTGCAGTAGCTGTACCTAATAGGACTCAGTGTCATTCATATTATCCGTTATACTCAGGAAGACCAAGTAGAATGCACCCAAGACCTGGCCCAGCAATTTAAAATCCTCAGTCCAACTCATTCATCACTCAAGCCAGCTTTCCTTTCTGCTGGTGTGAGCCCACTCACTCTGATGTACCTCCCCATTCTAAACTTAGCTGCTTTTCCCTTACCATTGTGTGTATCATCCAATTATTTGTCTGTCCTGCACAAAAGACTGAAACTATGTCCTGGAACACCATATCCCATGGAACAAAATCACTATGAAAATTGGCATGGAGATAACTCTAAAAACCAAAAATAGAAATTCTATTTGGCCAACTATTCTTCTAAATAACTTCTCAAAAAAGTTAATTCAGTCTATTGATACAGGAGAAATATAATTCCCCATCTGCTAGACATCAGACATTTTGCCTTCCCCTACCCTAAAACTGAAGAAGAAATTCTAAAGGACAATGGAGATCACGAGTAGGAAATGTTTATGGGGGAACAGAAATGGCTCCTGAGATACAGGAGCAGACTGCAGTGAGATACCACCAAGGCCATGGGCGAGGGGTAATCCATAGAGCAAAGTCAGAATGCAGGTACATTGATAATGTTGATAATAAGAATCAACCTATAAAATTACAAGTGTAGCTGCTTAGCTGACACTGATCCCATAAGGAAGCATGGCATGTAACTGCTTATGGGCATATGACTGACACAATTAACTTTGGCTTGTAGATGACTTCTAAAACAGGCACATCTTTGGAAAGGGATGAGTCTAGGTCTTCTAATTACCCATGCAGGTATCTAATGCATTCCTGGACTTAATAGCCTGGTAGTACTAATTGCAGTTCTGATTATCCCTTAGATAAGTATGTAAGTAGAGCCACTGTGACTTTACCTTGAGGCCTTCCTTCAACAGATATGCCTCCAGTCACCATTCTGATGTCTTTATTTTTCACTGACTTCTTGAGAGTCCAGTCCCTCTCTGAATGTATTAAATTCTGTCTAACTTACCTGCCTACCTACCTATTATACCTGCACTCTGATATTGATAGCAGTATAAATTGTAATTTCTAAGTCTTGGAAATAAACTATGTATTTATCAATACATTAATGAATAAAGAAAATATAAATGCATTTATATATTGCAGACTATTCTTCTGCCATGAAGTGGATTATATTTTAGCTACTTATAAGAATATATATGTACCTTGAGACAAGTATGCTATGTGAAATGAATCAGACAAAAAAACTTAAATATTGTGTGGTTTCTCTTATATGAGGAACTCAAATTATAAATCATTTAAAGAAGAAGAGATGACTAATAGAAAACAAAGAGGCAGATATTGTGCAAACAAGAAAACCAAGAGATGTTTGGAATGAGGAAAAAGGGTAAATGAGCATTAAGAGGAATTTAGTTGTGGTTTTATATGCACCAATTCCTAAGATTAATAAAATCACTATGTGCTACAATGAGCAAAAAATACATCAGAGGAAAGTAGATAATTTTGAGAAAAATAAATATACCAAATATGATACCTCTATTCATAAATTTGATTCTTTTCATCATTCTGGTCACAAACTGAGTTGGATGAGAACCAAATCAAACTCAGTGGTTAAGATCACTGTTGGCTTTACAGAAAAAATTGATTTGATTTTTGACCAGCTCAGTTTGTGACTAAAATCATAGAGAAAACTGAGTTCATGAACCAATGTACCACTGCAATATTTTCATTAGTTGTCTCTTATATTAACCAGCAAATCAAGTCAATGTACCAAATACTACTTGAGGAACAATTTGAAACAAGTACACTGACTCTGTACAAACCCTCACAAAGTTGAAGAATGAAATCTTGGACAAAAGGAGGAAGTAGAAGAGTGCTTACTAGAAATATGCAGAACAGCAACTCTTAGTGGATACTCACCAGTAGGGGACTCTGACAGTGGAGTTTTCCATTGTGATTTGTTCATGTTACTCCTACATAGATAAGACTAACACTTTCATTTGTGAATTCCACCAAGTCCAGTCCAGAGGTAGAGAGGAGCTGTTGACTAACTTAGCATATTTTGCATAAGTGTTTTCTGAGGAAGGAAGGCTTCTCATCTAACCATTTTTTTCCCCTAGCTCTTTATTCTCTTTTCCTGTGTTAGCTTTTATGTTTCTAAATTTAAGAAGCTAGATGGCTTGAATTATTTCTTGGTGTATGGGACATTTTCTTTTCATCCAACAGATTCTATCTTAGGCCACCCCTTGTTCACTGCCTGATTCCAAGCTAACTAGGTAATGGTTAGACAGAATAATGATTAGTCCGAAAGACATTAACAGGGGCTGGTGAGATGGCTCAGTGGTCTAAAGCACCTACTTAGAACAAGCTTGGCAAAGCACAGGGACTGCGGTTCAATCCCCCAGCACCACATGCCAGCCAGCCCCGCCCCCTGGTGGGCTGAGCTGGCCACACACACACACACACATAAATTAAAAAAAAAATTTAAAAAGACATTAACAGGCCTATAGACAGGCAGCAGGGGGCCTAGTTTAAAAGCAAAGAAAATGTGACAATAATTTTCCATTACTATTTTACTCACTAACTATGGATAAAATACAAGGTTTTTTCAAACTTCACCTGAAAAAGATGTGATGTCCTCTGTCCTCTTGCATTGCTGATAAGACCCAGGAATCCTACAATGTCCAGATAATGGCTAGAAGTCTGGGAAAATGTCCACGTCTTAAAAAAATACCTAAATGGAGAATGCACCAAGGTAGTAAACAGGATCCTACTTCTCTCAGAAGTAGGTCAACACACACCATTTATTTGTAAGAGAAAAATGACCTCAGAAAGGAGAGACTGTTCTATGAAAGACACAGTTAATCTTGTAACTGTAACCCAAGACCTTGTTCAGTGCAACCGCCACATGTGTGCTTGCCAAACTTCACACATAAATATGTGTTCTCTCTAAAAATCTATGGTCGGCTGGGGAGATGGCTCAGTGGAATAAGCGCTTCCCTGGCAAGTGCAAGGGTCTGAGTTCAATCCCTGGTTCTGCCAAAAAAATAAAAAATAAATAAATTTCTTTAAAAAAAATCTATGGTCTTGGAAAAAAAAAACCTATCTATACTCTACACATACTATCTGAAACCTTTCATCAAAGAATCTGTATGTGGCCTGTTTCTTACAGTGTTAGCACGTTGCTGCATTCTGAACCTTTTCCAGTGACAATGGCAAAAACATGATTAACCTATGGAGTGCCGCTGTATGAATTAGAAAGTCCTTTTAGAGAAACGTGTGCTCTCTGAAAGCACAAATCTTAAAAGATGTCCTTTCTTCTAGATTGACACACACGCGCATATAGGTAACAACTCCTTTTCCCATTGAATAGAACATCCCTGAATGCAGGTCTTATCTCTTCAGTGGGCTGCATCATAGAGAAGCATTAAAATGTCACTCACATAAATTTCCCTGCTGGCTTCCGGTTGTTAGGTGGAATAGACAGTACTTAGCCTAGTAAATGAGGCCTCGCAGAGGCTGCTCTCTGCCTCCTCATTCTGACCTTTTCCAAGTTTTAGCAAAACTTATAAATTTGCAGTTCCCATAGTCACTGTGAAATCCAATCTTTTGTGTTGCCCATTGCTGCTTTTCTGCCTGGGAAATAACAAGCCCTTCTAAACTAGACTATTTCATTACTGCCTTTGAGTC